TTCACCTATTTTTTGACATATAGCCCCTACATTCTACTTAAGAGTCAATCAGGACCCTTGGTTTGGAAACATTCTGCATCTTCTATTCTACAACCTTCCCACTCTGAAGGTTGAGAGTTCAATTCTAGGTAGTGGCAGACATTTCACTTTTACATCAGCCTATGAGATTTAACAAGATTTGGAAGGTAGCAAGTCCTGAACAGCAGTACAGCTGTTGTGTCTTGGAAATGAATACTCTATAAATACAGTATGCTCAATATGTAGAAGTGGATAGATAGTAAATAGAATTCTTTTACCTGCCTGGATTTTTACTTAATTTATATGGGATTAGTACAAGCCAAACAATCTTCTGATGTACAGATAAACAGACCAACTTGTTCCAAATTTAAATGGAATGAAATAGGACAGTCCAACATTACACAGAGCCTCTTATGTATTTATTTATTGCTCAATTTATATGGCCATCCATCTGTGATTCTGTGCAACATGCAAAGTTAAAAATAACAGTGTATGCAATCTAATCCATAATGCCCAAGGTCACAAACAAGATTTCCAGTGTACGCAAAAAGAACAACACAGCTAACTTACCCTCCTAGCCTAAATGTCAGAAGGTTTTCACTCTACAAGTGGCTGCCAGGCCAAACTGATTTGCTCATATCTTCATTTATTGCAGTTTGGAAATTCCTCATGGAACTCATAATTTATGGCTTTGATGATTACATAAGATATATTGTAGAAAGAAGAGAGTCATGATGTCAGGACTCAGGGTAACATGATAGCAGTGTTGCAATATATGAGGGGCTGCCATAAAGAAGTGGGGGGTCTTCCAAAGCACCAGAAGGCCAGACAAGAAGCACTGAATGGAAACTAATCAAGGACAGAACCAATCTAGAACTAAGGATAAATTTCCTGACAATGAGAACAAATAACCAGTGGAATGGCTTGCCTTCAGTAGCTGTGGGTCCTCCATTACTGGAGGTTTTTAAGAAGAGACTGGACAGCCATTAGTCTGAAATGATACAGGTCATAGTTTCAATTGGGAAAATGTGACCATCCTAGACCAAGACAAGTCCAAAAAGGCCAGGGAATGTATAGAAGCCTGGCATTCTGACAATTCAGCCATCCATAGACACATGGACATTAACAACATCTATAGACTATGCAAAAGAGACAATCAACCAACCCAAAAGGGAAAAAGAATCCAGCACCTCTCCACCAGCAATCTGCACCCAGATCAACATAGATTAACTCTGAAGTTAAAATCAGACCAACAATTTACAGACCCCCTCACATCCCGGACATAAACTGTTTCAATTCCTATCCTCGAAACAACACTATAGAGCACTGCACACCAGAACAACTAGACACAAGAACAGTTTTTTCCCCGAATGCCATCACTCTGCTAAACAAATAATTCCCTCAACACTGTCCAATTATTTACTAAGTCTGCACTACTGTTACTATTAATCTTCTCATTGTTCCTATCACCCATCCACTCCCATTTGTGACTGTATGACTGTAACTTTGTTGCTTGTATCCTTACGATTCATATTGACTGTTTCCTAGTATGATTTGATTGCTTATTTGTACCCTATGACTATCATTAAGTGTTGTACCTTATGATTCTTGATGAACGTATCTTTTCTTTTCATGTACACTGAGAGCATATTCACCAAGACAAATTCCTTGTGTGTCTAATCATACTTGGCCAATAAAAAATTCATTCATTCATTCATTCATTCATTCATTCATTCATTCATTCATTCATTCACAATCATGTACACAATACCCTAATCACTGATGATGTTACCTAGACTGGGTAATGAAATGTCTGCAAGAAAACAACCCAGGTCAGAGAGCACCAAGGACCCCTCATGAGAAGAAATAAGAAATTGTATAAAGGAGAAGAAAAAAGACAATTTAATATTATGTAACTAATGCACACACTCTTCTCTCTCTGGAACAGAAAAGGGCATTATAAAATCCATGAAATGCCACATCCCCCCTTAGAATGTAGTTTTCTGAAAAGATAGTTGGCTTATTTCAGATTCAACCTCTGAATTATAAAAAGGCCATCGGTTCTCCCAGCGATCCATTCTTGTGTCCTGTTTAGTGGCATGACCATTCTCAGCACTGCCCCAGCAAACCAAATTATAAATTTAAACATTTGTGTTCATTTCAAGCAAGCAGGAAGATGGGAAGCATCACAACTGTGCTGGTCAGAGTAATACGCCTCTTGTCATCAGGACCCAATATTACAGACTGACAGTATTTGGAAGGGGTTATTACATATCAAATCATTCCATCACATTACTGCTGAGACAATATTGTTCTCTCCTGGAGCGAGCAGGAAAGCAATAAGAAAAACTGTTGCATTTTATATTACTTTTATTTCCACTTAATGTGCTGGCTCTCCCTGGAGCCTGACCTTAGTGTTTTCTTAGGAAAAAGACACATTTTGTTCAAAAACAGTTAAGACTTAAAATGACCATTGAGGCTACAATGAAAACACATTTGGTTTTGATTTTTAAAACATTTCCCTTTCTGTCTTAGAACAGCAAACTGCAGAATTCTCTATGCCTTCAATTAAATTATTGTCTTCCTTTCTTCTTTCCTTTCCTCCCTCCCTCCTCCATCCTTCGTTCCTCCCTCTCTCCCTCTCCAATTCAATATTTGCATACATTTTTGTGCCAGTACTTGGGAACAAAAGTTCACTGAAACAACATGGACACCAACTTGAATTCAGTTTGTAGGAAAAAAAAATCTATCTATCTATCTATCTATCTATCTATCTATCTATCTATCTATCTATCTATCTATTATCTATCTATCTATCTATCTATCTATCTATCTATCTATCTATCTATCTACCTACCTACCTACCTACCTACCTACCTACCTACCTATCTATCTATCTATCTATCTATCTATCTTTCTCTTTGAGGGCTAGAGTAGGAAAAGTAGGAAAGTAGGAACTGGAAACCACAAACCATAAGCCTAATCTTGCTTGCTGACAGCTCACCAAAATATTTCTGCTTCTAGTAAGTTCTACTGACTGCTTCCGGTTCCTTCTAATAAAGCTTTACCTAGACCAGTGATGGCTAACCTATGACACGTGTGTCACTCGTGACACGCTGAGGCACTTTGACTGACACGCCTGTTGGTGTGGGGAAAACCTGCACATTTAGAGGCTGCCTGTGCTCTGCTCCAATCCCTGCTCCCTGCTTGTTGCGTGGAGGCGTGGTGTCACCGCTGCCACAAGATCTTTGCAGCAGAGAACCAGTTTTAACCGCCATAAACTGAGGTTTGTCAGTTTCATTACCTCAGGAACGCTACAGGAGGAAAGGAGATCCATGAGGTTCACAGCCCTGTAAGGTGGCCTTCCGATCCCCACATCCTGCACCTGCAGCCCTGAGACCAGGGAGACGAGTTTCATAGCCCTGTGTGATCACCCCAGCCCAGTCCATCATAAACCAAATTATTGATATTTCTTGAAGTGACACACGACCCGAGGAAGGCTACACTTTTTCCCGATTTTCGACACACCAAGCTGAAAAGGTTAGCCATCACTGACCTAGACCATTCTTTCTCCATTTTGCTTTCTTGGGGCTCTATTCACAATGTTCTCCAATGGAATTTTGTTCCTGGGTCAGAACCATTTTTCAATTATATGGCTAATGGCTTTCTAAAATCTGAACAATTTAGACTTTGGATAGATATACCAGGCAGCTCTCAAGACAAAGGCAATTTAAAAAGGATTGGATTTTTTAAGGTTTAATATCATTATTATTTTTAAAAAAACACTAATATAATCTACACTTTGAGATTGAAGCTATGGAACCAGCAACTGACCCGCAAGATTCCTGGATCATCCTAGTTAGATTAGTTTAATGGTTAAGGCACTACTAGGCTAGAAATTGGGAGACTGTGGGTTCTAATTCTACCTTAAATGTTAAAGACAGGTGGGTGACTTTGGGTCACTCAATCTCTCTCGACCCACCCTGTTATGAACTAATAAAAACTATTTAATAAAAACTTGTCAACCTTACGAGAAAAGCAGGCTCGTAATCCTGCACCTTTGATTGGCCCATGTATAGCGAGCTGGGATTGGTCCTTATGGAGCAGCCTGATTGGCTATTAGCTGAACATCTCTCATTGGGTACAATTTAAATGTTTGAACGCAAATCATTGGTTAACGGGTCAGCAGCCAGCTCTATAAAAGAGCTGCTGCTGCCCAGGGTTTTTGCTCTGTTCCTAATCATTAATAAAGAGTTGAAGTTCACAAGTTCTCTGCCTCATCTCCATTCCTTGCGCCCATGCTCAGAACTTAACACACCCCACCTCCTAGAGGTGTTGTGGGGAAAATAAGAGAAGGAAGTAATATTATAGTAGGTATATTCACCGCCTTGAGTTATTTACAAAAGTAATAAAGGTGGGATATACAAATAAATAAAATTGGAATTGGGTAAATTATGGTGTGTTACCACTTTGCCTCATAGACATTGTGACTGCAGTAATATTATATCTCTCTATTCACATTAAGACAGAAGTCAGTATTGCCTTGGTTATTGTGTATAAAATATGATTTTAGATTAAGCTCCCGCTATGCAAATAGCTCCATTTGTCTCCACACAGTAGAGACAAATACATGCCTTTTGGTTGAATATATTACACAGAACTACTTTCCTAATATGCAGGCACACTCTCACACACAAATCCATGTCTATGTGTGGCCCTAAAGGGATGGAAGTTTCCTTTTACCACTTCATTCATCATTTTGAGTATAAGTCATATTTTTCACAAAAGTGTAGCAGTAGTGATGACGTTTAAAGAACATGTCTGTCTTTAAATCAAGTACTATATTAGATGATGATGATGATGATGATGATGATGATGATGATGATGATGATGATGATGGAGGAGGAGGAGGAGGAGGAGGAGGAGGAGGAGGAGGAGGAGGAGGAGAAAAAGAGGAAGAGGAAGAGGAAGAATAGATTTACCTTGAATGGCAACGGCTCTTCAGTAAGTGGGCTAACAGGAAGTGAGTTGGTACTGGTGGCAGGACTCATATCTGAGCTCTAAGATAAAATCAAAGAATATCCATATTTAGCCTAGGACACATTATCATTGTTATACAGTCAGTCAGTCACTTATTTTCTATATTTACCCACTCATCAAGAACCCACTCACCAAGAGTTAAAAACTTTGCAGTATCAAAATAAGATACTAAAGAATACATAATACATGGGAAAAAAATACAGACTTCATGTCATTACAAAATATTCTACCCACTCCCAGTGCCTCGGAAAAGAATCAGGCCTTTAAAGCATTCTTAGTCTGGTAGGCTCAGAGCCACTAGAATCTTGACGATACAGTTCTGTAGGACAGAAGTTGCAACCCAAGGCATACTTCCTGCATCCCATGAAACTTTAAGCCCTCTTTAATGTTGCCCATCTAGAACAAGATACTATCAGAGTTTGAAAAATGGACGGAAATCATTAAGTTATTTCTTGTGTTGCAAAGCATCTCAACAAGATAACAATGGGTCTTATACAGCTTTATAGATGATGACAAACACCTTAAGTTGCATCTGGAATTCTTCTGGTAATTATGGCAGTTCACACATAGAAATGTCATAGAAATGTAACATGGTCTACATCAGGGGTCTCCAACCTTGACAGCCTTAAGCCTGGTAGACTTCAACTCCCAGAATTCCCCAGCCAGCAAACCTGGGTGGGGAATTCTGGGAGTTGAAGTCCGCCAGGCTTAAAGTTGCCAAAGTTGGAGACCACATACTGCTATTCATGTATTGTCAGATTCTGGATAAGTTCAGCTTCTAAATATTTTTCAAGTGCAGTCCCATGTAGAGTCTTGTAGAGACATGTCCAAGGCATGTGTTAATAAGTAAGCCCCCCAAACCAGAAACCGATGCAATTAACACACAATATGCATTTGTACAAAGGTCCTCCTGTTCATTGCTGTCACCAGCTCTTCAGGGAGAAGCTGAGAGTCAAAGTGGATCCCCAGACTGCACACCCTCTCCATCCATGAAAGGATAATCCTATTCAGAACTAATTATGGGAAATGGTTGTTCTTCCTGGATAAACTAGACAGGAAACATAGTTAGCTGAACTAAATCTACTTTATTGTAAGGCTCCATTCACAGACTCTTGAAAATCTGAAAGTACGATCCTCCCTCCCTCCCCTTTTAATTGCTCGCTCCATAAGGACATGTCTTTCCTAAGTTTCTTTCTCTGATCATTAAGCAACTGTGAGATCCTGCCTGTCTTGTTTCCTAGGCAGCATCTTTTCTCTCCTTTTCTCAAAGTCATCTACACAAGCATTCCATTTCAAAATCCATAGAACTTGATAGATCTAACATTCACACCCAATTAGTTTTGTTGTGCTTTATTTAATGTTGGGGCATTTTATATACCAGAAGAAAAAAAACACCCTATTTATAGCAACAGCAAGTGTGCTATCTACCCAGTGTTTGCTTTGCCAATTTTTCCAAGATGCTTTTTAACAGGCACCTTCAGGACTACTTCCATTAAATAATGAATAAGATCTTTAAAACAATGTCCTGAGCAACACAGGTATGGACGCATCCTTAACAGTCCCAGAGGGAAGAATTATTAACAAAATGCCAGTGAACTATATAATGCAAAATGCTGTGGTCAAAAAGATCAGCTTCTTGTCAGCAACAGAAGAGCCCAAGAGGAAAGAAGTGCTGAGTTTCTTAGTTATCAGCAAACAATTCCAAATGAGAATAAAACTGAATAACCATTGAATTGCAAGAAGAAAGCAAAGCCTCTCAGCATTTTCTTAAGAGTAGGGAGAAGGCTTCATGGGTGCTCATACACTTCTCTTGGTTTGCTTAGCAAAATATGAGCCACAGATGACACACTCAGGTACACTGGGGCTGTGGATCAGTGGTGGGATTAAAAAAAATTATTACCTGTTCTGTGGGTATAGTTTGGTGGGCATGGCATGGCTTGGTGGACATGGCTTGGTGGGCATAGCATGGAAAGGATACTGTAAAATCTCCATTTCCACCCCACTCCAGGGGAAGGATACTGCAAAATCCCATTCTCTCCCCCACCACACTAACCTGTTTTCCAGCTCCGTTCTCCAGTCAGAGGTGGTATTCCGAACTACTCAAAATTTCCGCTTCTTCAGAATTGGTCAGAACCTACGGAATACCACCTCTGCTATAGATGCATGATTAATAAAACCCAAATGCCTTTGGTTTATAAACCATGGATTACGGTTTAGCATGATATGTTAAACTCATGATAACTAGTCAGAGAGGACCAGAGAATAGTTGTCTTTCTTTGCTCCACATCAGTGGAACAATGAAACACTTGATTTATTATTATTTCATTTTACTCCTAAAAAAAAAAAAATAGTCCACTGGTAAAGCGGTGAAATACCACCATCCACTGCCAAACTGGTGGAGTGAAATACTGGAGTACACTGAGAAAACCTGTGTCAAGTGAGAGCAAGAACAATCGATTTGTCTACAGACTTTTGTAAAACTGGCAAATTTCCACCTAAACAAAGGGATTTATGAAAAAACATTTCTAAACAGAAACTGTGTGTCCTGAAAGATTTGTCCACAAAAAAGTACAAGAGTGGTGTTGGCTATTCCATCATTGTACAAAAAGGAAAGCAGCAGGGGAATCCAGAAATCAAGGCTAATGGTCATTTTTATCTACACAAGCCCCCGTTTAACCTCGTTGCCAAAAGTGAAGAGCAGTGCAGCAGATGACAAGCAATGTAACAATGCTGTTAATATGATCCCTTAGTGAAGCTCCGAATAGATTCATCAAAACACGATACAAAATATACTCAGCTATTACATGATTCCAGCAGGTAAATTTTTGCATCCATCCAACTGTGAATATATTGAAATTGTCAGGTATAAGATGTGGCTGAGAGATTACCTTTTGTACATATCCTACCTAGGCTCTCTGAACCACCAACATTCAAAGGAGTTTTTAAATTCTGCAACATCTCCAGATATGTCAGCTATTCTTTGTGAAATTTGACAGCTTCTGCCATCTCTCATAGAATTGAGTTATTCAAGCTGCTCACTGTTGTATAGAAAAAAGACACAGCAATGACCCTAAATAGCTTTGATTAAAAATATGTACAATATCCCAGTTCTCCTAATGTCTATTTTTTTCTGCAACCACTGCTTGTCAGCCAGAGAAGTTCTGCATTCGTGAATACTGACTTTCCTCATGATCATTATCCAAATTTATTGATCCAAGAATTTAATGCTGATGGAAAGTATTTTTGGTGAATATTTGAAGCAAGAGAACAAATAAATCTTGATAATTAAAGAAAGGAGAAGACAATCTGTATAGTTTATAGTTATTTAAAAGCAGAGGAGTGAATCGCCAACTTATTTTCAGGGTGATTGCTTCCACTGTTTCGTTGCCACTATGTTGAGTTGAGGTTTACAGTCTAGAAGCTGAATTACACTTAATAAATGTGATACGGGTTAATAAACAAGTTGACATTTTGGATGCTTTGTACTGAAAGATCAATAAAGGAGCTGGCTATAGTGATCCTTCATTTTTATGACATATTGTATTTGCTTTATTGCTGGCCCCCAATTTTTCCAGCTCCCCGACAGGAGTTGTGAAAGTGCATGGAGGAGGAGGGTGTAATGATGACATCCATGGTTTGAAGATACTCACTGATACTCCTCTATTCTCCATTTAGTGGTTGACCAACCCTCTTGGAGTAATTTTGCATCACAATATATAAATCAGAAAAGTTTGTCTAGCAAATTTCATGCCCTGATTCTACCCTATTTCTCAAAAAGTGGAAGAAATATCAGAGAAGATATAGTGGGATGGATGGATGGGTGGATGGGAAGGAGGAAGGAAGGAAGGAAGGAAGGAAGGAAGGAAG